AGCGAAATTTCCATCAGACTTGACTGACAAAAATTACTCTGCGATTTCCAAATCTAACTTTTATTTTTCTCTCTACTCTCTTTTCTCTCGATTTTTCTCTCGCACATCTCTGTTAGACGAAATGATAAGGAAAACGGCTTTTAGTTAATGACTTGAGATATTTATAATATTATATTATTATTAATTAATTATATAAATTTGTTAGTTTTAAATATAAGAAATCATATAAATTATTTTATATCTTTAAATATATAACTTCAAAAATTATAAAAAAATATTCATAAAGTAGCTCATTTTATTTAAAAATTTTTGGTGAAATTGGTTTGCAAAACAGGAATTTTTATTGCGTCCTCCCACCTGACGTAGAGATACGTCCTCCCACAGCCAAAAAACTCGGTTTTTGCTCGGTATTGCTACGTATTATTTGATAATAACGAGGAATATCATCATGTGAAGATCAATACCGAGTTATACCGAGCTATACCGAGCAATACAAAAAAATACAGAGTTTTTTCTAGGAAAAACTATGTATTTTTTTGTATTGCTCGGTATTGCTCGGTATAGCTCGGTATAACTCGGTATTGATCTTCACATGATGATATTCCTCGTTATTGTTTGGTATTGCTCGGTATTTCTCATTTTTTTAGCGCGATTTTAGCTCTGGGAGGACGTATCTCTACGTCAGGTGGGTGGACGCAATAAAAATTCGCAAAACAGACACCTAACTGTCTCAAAATTCTCACTTGTACTCACAAGTGTGATTAATTTCGTAAGGATTTGCACCAGTACTCAAAAATGACGAAAAAATTATCTTAAGTAAATCATTATAATATCTAGCTTATGGCTAAAATGGTTTTCAAATTTGACTCATAACAACTCAAAAAAGAAATATTTGGCAGAATTAAAATACAGGCTATTACACTAGTCACTTCTTATTGGAGAGGACATGAAGGAACATGAAGATAAACAACAAATGTCATAAATTGATGGATATCATGTGTCAAATATTGGAAGGCATTGAGCAACGATCAATTAAGAACTTCAAAAGTTGGGCAAAGTTAGTGGTCTAATTAACCACTTTCCTTGTAGGAGGGGAAGTTTCATGCATCGGTGGCTGACATGCATTCGTGTTGGGTGATGGTAGGAATTAGATCCATGTCGAACATTTACATTAGTCGATTATGAGCATCAAATGTTAGTTGTTAACACAATAATATTCAACATTTATGTCAATTATTAACACATGCTAGATTCAACATTTGATAATGGCGGGCATCAATGTTGGTCGACGAAGCATAACAAATTATGGCCAATGATAAGTGTTAATAAAACTATAAAACTATAAAATTATAAAAATACTTTCAATGATAGACATTGGACTATGGTCGACAATAGATGTCAAGAGCATCAGCATTTAAAAGCTAATGTTTGGCGACAACAAGATCTAAAATTAGCAATGATAGGCATCATCTTTAGACAACTATGAGCACCAAATGTTGATGGTGAGCCTTTGGAATTCTCCAAGTCTATCGATTATGTCAAATAAAGCCATCTCTTAGGTACTCCTCCAGTCTACTTTCAAAGCATAGAAGCATGGCATGCATGTCTATATATTTTTGTAGAGGACATTATATATAGACATTTTTGTTAGAAGTCAAAGCAATCTATCATACACTCAGGATTAATCCCCTTGAAGATTTGGTATTTTTTTTTAGTATTTAAGTGCCTCAATGAACTTAGAATTAAGCGACTTTGAGCTTGATGGATTTAATTAATTGATACAATCAACAATTAGCATACAAAAATTTATGGTCGTATGATCCGCCAAATATATAGTCTTGCAAAGTTTTTAAATACATCTTTAATGCCTAATTTAGAGACATTCGGACTAGAAATAAAGACATTTTCGTATTGTTTGATTTGTCTTATCAAAACGTTCATTTTCATTTTAAGTTTTTTAAAAATACCCTCCATATGTTCTCTAACTTAATTCTAGATGCTCTGATATGAAATAGTTTAAGTGTTTTGCATTAAGATTCATATTTGATCAAATGAATCATCTAAGAATGTATCATGAGGTCAAATTTATTTAAGTTCATAATTTGAAATTATATCAAAACAAAAAATATATAATATTATATATAGTTTCATATAATTTTAATAATTTTTATATTTTAATCTCCAATAACTTTATGATAAGGAGTATATTATATTAAAATATTAAACAAAGACAAATATCTAATTTTTTATTAAAGTGTGTCATGATAGGATTTTTTTTTCCTATATTTAAACTATGTAATAGGCACGATAAGTAGGAAATAATGGTGTATGTGTAAGTTTATCTTTAAACTTTGGTAATTCCAAAAATGGTTTTCATAAAGGCAACGGAGGCTTGAGAATAGAATGTATTGAAACCCTAAATTTTATGGGCTATTTTCAATTATTTCATTAATTGAAGCATTGTATTAAAAAAAATATCTTATTTTTATTTGAATTACATGCCATTGGTTTAATAGAACATAAGATATAAGATTTGAAGCTCCATGCAGCCAATGAAGTTCATTATTCCCAATCTTGAGACAAGGGTTGACAATTATGCAGGTGCTTACTTATCTTCTTTAAGTTTTATAAAGACAAAATGCTATTTAAAGGAAAAGCAAACCATTTAAATCTCCATCGTTCCTTACATACCCCTCTTATCCGGACGTCGGACAACGGACGTAGCTCTACATCCGGACGTCAATGAAATGATGCAACGTAGCGCCCCGACGATCCGAGGATCCGACTCAATGAAAACTAGAAATTTAGCACATGCTTTTCCAAATAATCAAGCGGCCCAGCAACACGGCCCGTCCGCACCAAATAATTTTTTTCAATCGACTAGGATTCTTTGAGGTTTTGGGAGACATGATTGCTCTATGTGAGAAGAAAGTTTCTCCTTATGCGAGATAATCTTTCTTTAGTATTATTCAAGGATTTTCTTGTTTATGGTGCGTTGGTGCATTTGATATTTGGATAAAATTTTGCAAATACTTTTTGATTTGCTCATTATGATCATAGTAGCAGCTTCTTTGTTAGTAGATCTTTTCCACTTTCATCTGAAATTAATATAGTTATTGAAATTAAACCACGTAACTTTTGGTATATCTTAGAGGTCTTATTTTTTCGTATATGTATATTTCAAATATATCATTCTGAATCCTAACATCATACGCATCCAGAAATTTATGCCGTGTGGTGCTTTTCATTACAATATATCATGATGTTACAGCCAGTTTTTTAAATAATCTTATTAATGTTATTGAAGAAAATGTTGTGCACTAAGGTCTATCTCCAACCCAAAAACTCAATTTTCACTTCAAAATATAGTAATACTCCAAAATGCCGTAACTAATCTCCAACCGAACTCCATTTATGTGTATACTTTTTCTCAACTTTATTTAACCTAATTTTCGGGTTAAAAAAAAATTGAGTGTGAACCGTGCGATGTCAATATTGACATCACACTGTTCAACCTCACACAAATATCATGATTTTTCTTTTCAATCAGCTAGAGCAAATGACGGACGCCACACGAATGTTAGGCGTTTGGTTCGAGATGATCTAAGGGAGGAGGCTGCATTGAGTTATATGTTGCTTCACAGCATTAGGAGGAAAATTGGATTTAGTTTGGGATGATATTTTTACTATTTCTTAAAATAATTTTCTAATAAAAATACTAAAAATTTATTTTTTTAAAAAATGTAAGAAAACAATAGTTTGAAAAGATGAGGATCCGAAGCAGTGTAGTAGGTGGGACAACAGCAGAAAAATAAAGTATTAAACGTACAGTTCTTTTATTTTAACATTATTACAACAGGCGATGAACCTAGACCATTAATAAGAAAATCAATAAATCAAATCACACAGAAATCTCCATAATAACAAATTATAATTATACTTCACACGTCAACCTCTTTCATGTATTATATCGAATACGTCCATTTATCATTATTTTATTTTCTATATTTCTAGAGGCATCCGAATTGCCTGAGAACATAGTCATGCAAAATGACAAGATACCCATCATTCCCACTAACTGCAGGATTAGCCAAGTAAATGGACCAAAATCATTGCATTAGGAAGAAAATAAGTAGGCGAGGTGATTACCGAATCCAAGGACAATGCTGCAGTTATTAGAAGATATAGAACTATTAAAACTGCAATCCATTAGCTAAGCCCACAAACCCAAAAAAAAAAAAAATAGCTAAGCCCACAAACAGAAAAAAATAATTCTTAAGTGTGTTTAGAATAATTTTATTATTTTTATTATTAAAATAAGTTAGTTATTGTCACGTGAGTTTAAAATAATTTTTTATTTTTTAACACATTAAAAAAAAAATTCCCGTTTTAAAAAATTTCAAAACAATATATGAGATTTGCAAGCTGCAGACCAAACACATTAAGATTAAAAAAAACGTATAAATAGAACTTTTACAATATTCATGCTAAATCCTACATTGTATTATCATTGATTTTCCAAGTAAATATGCAAAACTCTCTATATTATAAGATTAATTATTCTTTGCGGATTCGGGATGCCAAACGTCTTCTGGAGACCAAACACAATGCATCACATCACCTCTTCAATGTGTACTATGGCTCAGTACCTAACATGAATGTACCTGATTCGCCTCCGGACATAGAGCTACATCCAGCCTCGACATAGAATAATTTCTCGTATTATAAAGATGCATAAGTTCGTCTAATAGAAAGATTGCCAGTAAAGCAATATAACAATCAGAAATAGCCATAGAGAAATAGTGCTCAGATATACAAAAACAGCTCAAGAAAGAAACAAAACGCCATGGGAAAGTGGGAGACTGAGATTCAAAGGAAAAAAGACCAAGGCAACAACGCCTGCAATCACTTGGAATATTAACACTACGTACCTTTAAAACTATGAAAATAACTTCAACCTGACATCATCTTAATAGATGAAAATAAATTTTACAAAGATGTAGAAAAGTCTTTAGAGTCCCTTAAACCCGTCAAGAAAACCAGAAAGTTACAGTCCAAAATTAAATTATAAATAGTAGAGATCCTGCGGTGATATGCATGCCATAAAGCATCCTCATCATTGCTTTCTTAAACCACATTCATGGTTAACCATAACATGAGGAATCATATCAGGCTCCCCTTACAGTATTACAATAGCAACATATGTAGAAAGGATTAAAAAGCGTCAGATTACAAAGTACATAGCTCAGTAATTAACAAATTCTAACAACAGACCGATTCGTGCTATTCCAGCCTAAGAGAATTCAATTAAAACATAGCCTCCATATTCAAGCTGCCTGAACAAAAACGGTAAGAAAATGGTTATAGGTTGACGATAAGCAAAAAGAATTGGAAGCAATAAAGCTAAAGAGTACCTCAACTGAATACAGAAGAATTGATTTGAGTGCTACTGGGTGCATCGGTAGTGAGAGATGGAAATGAAGGAATAGATTTCAGGATCAGTTTCCGGCCACCCTTAAGGTTGGGAGACAGCCCAAATCCATTGAGTGGTAAAGAAACTCTTTTCCCATTGGGAGAAGCAGTCTTCACAGCAGTACAAGGTGAAGAGTTAACTCTTAAATCTTCAGAAGTATCATCATCATGAAAAATCTGGTCAGACTTGCATTCTGCTTGTTGATTTTCAGATCTGTTCATTAATGAAAGAGTAGAAGACCGAGGAGGTTTTCCACTTGAGAGAAATGGCAATTTAACAGAAGACCTATTTAAGGAAATCTTTTATAATCAGATATGAGGACGAAAACAGAAAATAACTAAAAAAATATACATATGGATGTCAACCTGCAAGAAGGGAAAGGAGTGACGGGTAAAATGCTTTCTGATAAATGATTATGCTCAAGTTTTGGAACATTTGCATTAGCTTTGCCATCATCTGACTTTACACCTTCCTTCTCACAAGCATCAAGGTCTTCTTCAAATTCAATTTCCTCAAATCCTATTTGCACGGAAGAATGAATAAAAAAAATGAACTTACTAAGAAAAACAGAAATGCTTATAGTTAATGTGAAGAAACAAAACAAGTCAAGCTGCCAACACAAACCACATATAGCAACGAGCACATAAGACACGAGTTCTCAGAAGAAAGATTGGAAATTTATCAAGAAAAAAATGGCTACAAATACAATTTAGACGAATTGAAATATAATAAAAATTTCAAGTTTCCGCTTATTTTAGACCAAAGATGTTGTAAATAACTGTAAAAAGTTTCATTCTAACACATTAAAAATAATAATAAAAAAAAATACAAACAGAAAAAATACAACCAAATTAAATGTATAGAACAGCCAAATTAAATGTATAGAAAATAAAAGATTGAGCAGGCCAAATAGAAAAACCACTGGCCCAACAAAGAGAAATACGCCCATAGTCAAAAAGTGCGGCGTATATAGCCTCGTAGATCCCTGCCTCCTGAAAGGTATGCCTATGGGCCTGTAGGACTGTTGGCTCAAGAAAAAATGTCACGAATGCATGAATCTCGCTTTGCAGCTGTAGGATTCCATTTCTCTTAAGTAAGATTGTAATTAATCATATTTTCCCTGAGGGTGGTGTTAGGATTTAAAGATCTGGGGTTCTTACTTCCCATGAGCGCAAGCACTCATAGTTAATTAGTCATCTTAACACATAAGAGAGAACTATCGATTAACGATGAAATAATTTTTAGGTAATTTAGTCTCAATTATGAAGAAATTGGAGGTAAACCCAATCAAGATCCCAGGGTTCCATCGTCCCGTGTATACCGCAGTTTCAATCTACAAACACTAACAATCATTAACCGTAGTATCCAGGGAATCTGATTAGCAGGCATAGGTTGCCTCATCTCAGGGATCCCGAATAGACTAAAGCGGTTAGATGTGGATTTTAGTTTTAGTGAGTGTTTGGGTCTTGGGGTTTACATCTATTAGAATACCCAAAAATTGATTTAGTTTGGGATTTATGACTTCCTTTAGAAGTAACCCAGGAGTTTGGATTGGAGCGGAACTTATGACTTCTTTAGGAAGTAGCCCAAGTATTTAGATTTAGATTGGGACTTACAGCTTTCGTAGAAAGCAACCCAAGGATTTGATTTGGAATGAGGCTTATTGCTCTATTTATGAGTTGCCCATGGATGGGTATTACAACCTAACTCTATAGCAAGGCTGCCCGAAAGTTTTAATTATTTGGGTAGGACTTATTCCTTCCCTTAGGAAATAGCTTGAAAAAGCAAGTCTTACAACTTAATCCTTTTAGACTAAGATGCCATAGGTTTAAATTTGATTGTTTGGATTTTAGGGTCATTGCAATTTATTTAGGAATTTTCATAAAATGTGGATCTTACGACTTAACTTAGAAGTTGTCTGATAGCGAGTCTTACAACTTAATCATATAGACTAGGGATCATGAGTCTGATAGGAAACATATGATGAATTCAAATAAACACAAAGCATCTTACAATGAATGTTATGACACTACCTCAATCAACAACATTCAATGTAAAAAAAACGCTAATCTTCTTCCAAGCAAATACGGATGACGTGTAGCAAATGTAAGCACCTATAAACACCACTAGGAAACTCGTCATACACCCAGCATTCTATCTACAAACAAGATGCAGAGGAAATATAGTAAATGCAAACATCTATAGGTGGCGCTAGAAGATTTGTGTTCAACGCAGCTCGCCCACACATAACAGTGGAAGGTTTGCAATGCACACAACGTTCTACCTACAAGTTGAGCTGGTGATTTCTAAATGTTCGCTGATAATATACCATCAACAAACAAATCAATAAAGCTTATAATGCATAATAGCTCACTCGCAAGAGACAACGAGCGACCCATAATGCTACGCTACAATTCAACTGTAAGAAGCAGGGAATCCGTAGTAAACATTGCATGCACTAATAAAACAAGGCAGTAAATTTATGATGTCGGACTATCACATCAGGTAAATCAGTTCACCTGTAAGTGATAAGTGAAAGACTCCTAAAACATCGTACAATGTATTCATCAACATAAATACTTTACTGCAAGATGAATGCTGAGATGACTAACAACTGGCAAAAGACAAGATGAATTAAAAGTGTTGTCGATGTGCAATATACAAAGTACAACGCCACGCCACCGAATCTGCAACACTTGTATAAGCAACATAAGGTGTTTTGCGCAAACTTTAGCGACAATCACTTAGTGCAAACAATTATTTTTAAATATTGAAATGCTCCATCCTCATGCCCCGACGAGCATGATGATGCACATATGTGATGTCTGAAGATGCTGTGCGGGTTAAAAAATGAACTTAATATATAGGAATCAACTCGGCTCTAACTGTTAAAGGAATATATGATCGCAGCATCAGTCAGGATATTTATTTTATACTTTCATATTAGGCCCTCAAGGTCTAATACAAAAAAAAAATTCACCAACAAAAGCATAAAGACAATGACGAACCCGATCCTTTGTCAACAAGTAGATAGAGTCGACAAAATTTAACCAATAAGATAAAATTGCCAATAGAAACTCCAATGATGGCCATGTTGGCAGAAGATCTCAACAAGAGGGGACCTCAAATATCCAGAAATGCCTCTCAAATTCCAAAGTGCCTATAAAAATTCAAAATTTTAAGAAATATCATAATTTAAATATTTAAACTTAAAATAAATCATCAAATATTTAAAGCATAAAAGAGGGTGTAATTAACTATAGGGGCCAGCACCAATTAAAAACCTGGACTCATATCATAATGTTCTCACAAAATGAGGGCAAAATCTCTGGGTAATGTCTTATCTAAAATTAAATCTGCCTTCTAAAAATTTGCCTCGAAACTTAAGTGTTAAAACTCTACTCGACGACCCAAAGAGAAGGAAAATGGGTCAGCGTAGAGGATGGGACGCGAATTTTTGGAACCCGCATCCAACTTTTATCTTTTTTCTCATCCTTCACTCTCATAGCAAGTCATCACTTGCCATTTTTGATCTTTTATCACTCACAATTGTCTCTATATTTCTTTACAAATATCCCCCTCTTGTTATTTTCCATCTTTCAACATACCTCATTGGCCCATCAATTCAAATCTAAATCTCTGCCTGTTGATGATATAAATAACATGCCAAGTTTGTAATTTACAATCATTGTTAATACTATGTTCCCCTATTGGTTTCCTAATTTTAGATATTAAAATAACTCATTTGATTTACTACAATTCGTAATATCAATTACTATCATTACCAATAATAGATTGCCATATTTAATTCCCTGATCTTAATGATTTGCAAAAACACATTTGATTTGTAATTATCATGATAGATTGTATATCATGTGTATATATACACTTGAATTCATACACCAAGAAAGACATCAAAAGCTATTCACAAATTCATCTCTTTATTATTACTCTATAACGAAACCAGAGCATCCAATAGTCAATGACCTAGCCTTCCCACACCAGCTCCTCTACTTCCGTAACCACCACCAACTATATAATCCTAAATCCCCATGAATCCAACAACATTATGATCACAATTAATACCACCACTGAAAAAATTAAATATAATGCTTCAAAAAGAACATGTATAAGAATAGGCTGATAATGTGAAAACCTGCGCAGGTATGTCGACAAAGTAAAATCCATTTGGAGGCAAAAAAGGTCCTTTATTTAAGATGTATATGATGATTTGTAAAGTTAAGACAACAAAGCTGGGCTCATATGTATGCAAAAGGATCCTCCACAAATAGCTTTTGAGCTTATGATAGCAATAAACCACTTCCACAAACATGATACATCCTAAAGCTGAACGAAGAACGGTATATGATATATGTAGCCAATAAAAAAATTCCACAAATAGTTACCAAAATGATATTTGTATACACTTTTTATGAAACATTATTAATGTTTGAAGCTCCAATATTTTACCTAAAGTTCTATTTCTAATTAAATATTTTACAGACGAGAAAATCAGATGTTAATTCAGATATTTCATATGTGAGGATTTCAAGTAATATAGTAGACTAGTATATGAGTATTAATAAACTTTTTATGATAATTACATATTGTTTTTAAATTGTTTATCTTGTTTAGTTTTAGCTTATATCATATTACGATGAACGCGAATTCAATTAAAGGAAAGGACAAGGTAGAACCCGAATAAAGGTAGCAAAATTCATCCACTTTCAGCAACAATTTATCAAGGTGGACAAGTTTGAAAATTGCTTCAGCTCACAAACGGCGAATGTCTAGTTGAGAATATCATTAATATTCATTCTCAAATCATCACTTGTCAGTAAGGATGTGGCATATGTTCTTTAACCGGTGATTTCACTGCCAAATGACACCACTGGTAAATGATTATGATTGAGACCCTTTGAATGGTGGTTTTGCCGTCAGATAGTACCACTAAATTATAGTCATGGTCAGAGCCCATATGTTCCCCAACGGCTTTAAATCCTTGAGTAATGAATCAATAGGATAAAATTGATAAGACACAAAGCTCTTTGTTAGCTAAGGTGAACTCAAATTTGTCCCATTTGGCAAACATTCACCCCAAGTCTATAAGGTACCATTGGACAAAGCAACCCATAGCTATCGACAAGGATCCTTCGGTTAGGTTAGGTCGACTACCTGCTCTATCTAAGTAGACTAGGGATCATGATTCCAGGACGATGAAACTATAGGATATTAATCGGGTTCATCATCATTCCCGCCATCATCCGATTTAGGTGTGTGGTTATAAAATTTCAATTTTCAATATCAAATGATACTGCTACTATGGATACTACATATATGTTCGACGACTAGCCTTAATTGAAAGTTCACTCTCGTTACTGGGAGAGGTAATTAATTATAGGGGCTTTCACCTATAGGAAACTTAAACTCAGCTAATAAAGTCCTCATAAAATGAGGGTGAAATCCATGTATAGTATCTTACCGTGAAACCTAAAACTCGTTAAAACTTTCCTCGACCC